CTTCTTCCCTAACCTCCATCCTAATTTTATATACCCCCTCATATTTCATCTCTTCAACCCCCATGACTAAGAAGAAAAAGAAAAGGAAGAAGAAAATATGAGCTATTGGGTCTTGTAAAAATCACCATTATTGACCTTTTGAAAAAGCTTGAAAATTTAATCGAGTATTGTTGATTTTGATGTTCCATGACCTAGAAAATTAGTTTGAATTCGTGATTATTGTTGAATAAAAATTTACTTAGGTGATTAATTTTGATAAAATTCAAAAAACACCATTAACAAGTTTGAAGCTTTGTGTTTGAGCTTGATTTTGAAATTTCTATAAGGATTTGTGATGAATGCTGTTAAAACTTGTTAAAAATCGGGAAAAGAGTTGAATCTATAGTTGGGGAAGAAGGTGCTTGTAGTGGAAGGGTTGGTGATAGTATGGTGGTGGTGGAGAAGATGATGGGGTTGGGGAGATGAGGAGGGGGTGGGGGTTTTTTTCTGTATTTTTTTCTTTGGGAAGATGAGGAGTGGGGGTGGGGGCAGAGATTTTTTTTTTTAACGATTTATGACACGTATCAGACGCTGATTGACGCGTGTAATAGCAATTTTTAAGCAGATATGGTCAAACAGCAAAGTGGTGACACACCTTTAAAAGTTTTGATGTATAATATTATTTGTCTTTAACAAATTTGTACCTTAAAAACAATTACACTATTCATGTGCTTTCATAATTATGCCATATGCAAATAAGAGGAATCTTGTGTTACAATTGAAGCAGTAGTAAAGTGGATTAATTATTCAAGCAACAAAGTGTTTTACTCTTTAATTTCTTGACCGTTTACTTTCCGCTACTTCCTCCGTTTTCTTTTTCTAATGCTCTATTGACTAGGTACATCCATTGAGAAATTAGAAAAAGTGTAAGTACTTAATATTAAGGTAATATTGAAAGAAAATAATAATTTTCTCTTGAAAGAAAATAATATGTTTAAAACAAAGGACTAATAAACGGTAACGGAGGGAATATTCAAAAACACAAATATAAGTTTTGTCTTATCCTTTTGCAATTGAAAATTAATTAAAAAGAAATTTACAAAGTTTAATATTTAAAGTAAATCTATTTGTTAAATATGCTATCTTCTCCTGTTAATTACAGAGCAAAGAGACAATAACAAGGAAAAAGTCATTGCACGGGTAGCACAGTTATCGTCTCAGGCGTTCTCCTAATAAAAATTTAAAATTTGAACAAGTCCGATTGATGCCAAGTCCGTGAGGCAGCAACGAACATTCAGCTTTTCCTGTGATTGCTACAACTGCTTTTGATGGCCATATCCTATATTCTAGGCAACTTATCCCTATAAATTCTCCTTGGATTATTTCTATATACCTCCATACTCTACTTCTCATAATCTATATCAACAGACCTTAACATTGTAAAATTTTAAGTAACTAATTTAACTTTCATAATATTATCTACTCAGACTCTGCATTTTTTCAACCATGGCAAAACAACCTACTAGAGTTCTTGTCACTGGAGCCGCCGGTACGTTTTTTTTTTTTTTAACACCATGATCATATAATCATTCGTTCTCATTTTGGTAGTTATATCAGGTTCTTTTCTTGACATGGATGAGTTACTATTCTATTTCATAGCTTGTGGATTTTGTCTTTGTCATTTGGTTGCCTTGTCTTCAAACTTCTTTTTTGTGAAAATTCCTCTTTTGTTCCTTTAAAAATCACATAAATGTATCGTGTTACAGTACCTAATTCCGATTATCGTGTGAGCTTCTGTGAAATTTCTCTCTGTTTATTTTCTTATTAAAATGGAATATTTGGGATCGATGGAAAAGCCTCTTGTTTTGTTGGGTTGTGCGTGTTTGTCATGGAAGATTGTTAGGCACATATGGAGCTTCTTGAATATAGAAAAGGATCCCATTACAGTGCTTGTTACTGGTGCTGCAGGCATGTTAATTAATTATATGGCTGCAATTATTTTCTATACTGTGAACATTTTATTTACTCTGTTCGGCTTCTGAATGTTTTGATTATGGTCCCCTTTGCTACAACTCGTATATACAAATCAGGAAATAGGCCTCCTAATAGTACATGCTATAAGAAGTTCTAAAAGTGGATTTTGTTGATCGGTTAACAAGGATATAGTGATTAGCAGTTTAGCTCATGTGATTTTGCTCAATAATAGCTGAATTGTGAAAAGGCGAGTTTTTTTAACATTCGACTATCACAACAACAACTATGCCTCGATCCCAAACAAGTTTCATTTGGCTATATGAATCGCACTGTTCACGTCGGTCCATCACATTCCAATAGCAATATGGTGCCAAAACATTCTGATTCTGAATAATTCACAGCCCCTTTAGTCTTCCTTTTAGTATTTAGAGTTATGGTAAAAGATGTATGATGATGCTTCATGTTGGTTTGAACTTGTCTTGTAATAGGTCAAATTGGATATGCTCTTGTTCCGATGATTGCTCGAGGAGCCATGTTAGGCCCTGATCAACCTGTTATCATACACATGCTTGATATTGAACCTGCTGCTGAGGCATTGAAAGGAGTAAAAATGGAATTAATTGATGCAGCTTTGCCTCTTCTCAAAGGTAAGAAACTCCTTAATTTCAAGTATGGCCACTATATTTTACCAAACAGTAAACTAGCAAAACTATTCTTTTGTCACATTAAAGTAACTGAACTATGTGTCAATTGATTGAAAACATACAAATGACCGGAAAGGTCAAACAGTAGAAGAGAAAAGCATTCACACAGCTTTGTTTCTTTTCTTTTTTACTTAGTGAATATATTGAATATTATTGTTCTATAGGTGTTGTTGCTACAACGGATGTTGTCGAAGCTTGTAAAGATGTCAATGTTGCTGTTATGGTTGGTGGATTTCCAAGAAAGGAAGGGATGGAAAGAAAGGATGTGATGTCCAAAAATGTTTCAATTTATAAGGCACAGGCCTCTGCCTTAGAACAGCATGCTGCCCCTGATTGCAAGGTAAAAAAAAATATTTGTTATTCAATTTGTAATCTGTGAAGACAACACGAACTCAAAAATAGACATGTTTATCGTGGTCTGCGATTGTTGCAGGTTTTGGTTGTTGCGAATCCAGCTAACACAAATGCGCTTATTCTGAAAGAATTCGCACCTTCCTTTCCGGAGAAAAACATCACTTGCCTAACAAGGCTTGATCACAATAGAGCTTTAGGTCAGGTTTCAGAGAGGCTAAATGTTCATGTTGGTGATGTAAAGAATGTAACAATATGGGGAAATCACTCTTCAACTCAGTATCCAGATGTGAATCATGCAACAGTAAAAACTACTAGTGGTGAAAAGTCTGTCAGAGAACTTGTGGCTAATGATCAATGGTAAATTGCTCTACTCAATTAATAGGCCATTTTTCATATCTTTACAACTTTAGGCAGACATACTATCCATAACTTTATACCTCAAATACAAGAAAGTATATAATCAAAATAAGAAGATCAAATCAGTACTAATAAGCTTCCCTGAAAATGTTAGGTTGAACACAGAATTTATCACAACAGTGCAGCAGCGAGGGGCCGCCATCATAAAAGCTCGAAAGCTATCAAGTGCATTATCTGCTGCTAGCTCAGCTTGTGATCATATACGTAATTGGGTTCTGGGCACTCCAAAGGTTCAGTATCCCATTTATCTTTCTGTATAGTTATAACACTTACATATGTCACTTTGGTTTATTAGACTAAATTTTGCTTACATATTTTTTGTAGGGGACATGGGTTTCAATGGGAGTCTACTCTGATGGATCTTATGGCATCCCACCTGGCTTAATTTACTCTTTTCCAGTTACTTGTGAGAAAGGAGAATGGTCAATTGTGCAAGGTTAGTTTGTCTGTGTCATTTTAGTACTCGCACGGGGTATGTAAAACACAGTTTAAATCCACGAAGAGGCAAGAAATGCTAGGTAATTTTATCCTATTTGTCTAAGAGTTGGTGGATAAAGTTATCCAGAACCTGCGCTAGTCAAGCTCGCGCAAGATGGCCCATACACCACCATTATCTTAAAAAAAAGTCTAGTACTCAGGCTAGTGAACATCTTTTGTTTGAGCTTGTCTAGTGAACATCTTTTGTTTGAACTTTCTGTTTCTCTGATGCAGGTCTGAAGATAGATGAGTTTTCAAGAGCCAAGATGGACGCAACAGCGAAGGAATTGATCGAGGAAAAGTCCTTGGCGTATTCATGCCTCAACTAATAATGGTGTGAGTTTGCGCGCTGAGGAAAATAAACGTGGGAAGATGAAGTGCAATAAATGGAATATTCAGTTTATTACTACTTGGAGTATATGATAGAATCATCTTTCTACTTAAAATGCTTCCTTGGTCTCTTACTTAGTAACCAACTTACGGACTCTTTTAGTCGTTTCTACTTTATAATGCTCAGATCGAAAAGCTGAATACTAATGTGCTCACTTCTGAGGTTTGGTCCGATTTTGGTGTCCCTTGAAAATCTGTATTCGCAACTGTGTGAATGAAATGTTATCATAAAATTAAATAAAATCAATAACAGAAGACTCATACAGGGGCGGATTATGTGGAAGGGGTGGGGTATATGTGCCATGCTCCCCTCCCTAGGCTATATATAAACACATTAAACAGTACCAATTTTAAAATTATCTACTATATATAAATATGTTCAATTGATTACCTAGGTGCATTAGTAAGTTGATAGGGGCGGATTTATGAGGAGGGGTGGGGTACATCTAGGGGTGTCAATGTATATTTAAAAACTGACTAAATCGATCGAACTGCACTATACAGAACCATTTTGTAGGTTTTTTTTCTAATAAAATTGTAGGGTTTTATATAAATGTATAATCATACCGATAATTAGGGTAAATTTTTAATTTTATGAAAATAAACTGAAAAAAATACTGAACTGTACTTAATAAGTTAACATGTGAAAATATATTTATATATTAAGTTTTAAAGTAATAAAGCATTAAAATTTTCCTTGGGCCTTGGAATTATGAAAACGATTACAAGCCAACAAGTAATTAAAACTCAAAATCCTAATTCCCAAACTTATTTTGCTGCTCCTATTGAAACGAAATTAGTTTCAGCATATATACACTAGCAAGACACAAGGTATTCTAGCGATTATGAGTAGCAACTTATTGCTTCGTTTCTTTTACGCTATTGTAGAATATAGATAGATCTATACTCTGGTCATCTTTCATGTTTTCTTAATTCATCATTCTTTAAACAGTAAAAATATCTAGAGAGTTTTGCTAAGTCCTATAAAAGCACATATGTTATTGCATTCTACTTCTACTAATGACTTTTACATGACATATAAAAAGTACCAAAAATTAACCGAATCGCACTGATATCGAAGAGAAACCGATATCACTCAGACGGTTTTGAAAAATTTAATTTTGGTTATACATAATAGAATAATCAAAAAAAATTAATATGATACAAATTTTATAAAATAACTGGGTGAACCAAACCAAATCATTGACACCCCTAGGTATATGCACTCATGCTCCCTCCTTAGGCTATATAAACAGTATCGATTTTAAAATTATTTATATAAATATATTTGTGGCCACCATGGTCAATTGATTACTTTGGTGCACTGGTAAATTGGTAGGGGTGGATTTATGCGGAGCCTCCCTAGCCTATATATAAAAAGTATAAATTTTAAAATTGACTACCTTGGTGCACTGGTAAACGTTATTTTTAAATTAATTTTCTTTTAAAAATGTTCCTTCTGCGTAACTTTTTAAGGGGGCATTTGGGTATAATCGATCAAACAATCAAACCCCTAGAAACAAAATACACTGTCTGTCTGTCTCCCTCCCTCTCAACTCTCTTTCTCACTCTCTCGGCTGTATGCGACTGTGGATTCTTCAAGAAAGCAGCAATTTCTTCTCTTTCCTTTAAAATTCTTAGGTACGTAACTACTCTCTCTCTCTCTCTTTGCTCTGTATTTTTATTCATTCGCTGCAGCTTTCTTTTCCTCTTGCTATTCCCGCTCTCTCTTTTCCCGTTCTGCTCAATGTTTGAATCTTTTGCCGAGATTTTATCTTGTTGATGGTGATTCTGATTGTTTATTTCTGAAACGAGAAGCCGTTGAATGCTATTTCTAGTGGGAATTTGGGAGAGCTAGGGCTTTAAAGTCTTGGATTTTGATAGTTTGTTGAGTTTGTGGACATATTGTGTTTGAGAAAATGCTTGGCCGAGTTTAATTAAGTTGAGGCTGTCTTTCAGAAAATTACTTCTCCATGAATCATGATGTGTTGTTTTGGTTTTTATTGCACCACTGCTCGATCTCATGACTAATAAAAATGCAAATACTTTGCTAATTTAGCAACCAAATATTCAAGGTCAAATAGGAGATACGCAAGTTCAGAAATTGAAAGTTCTATCAATAGTTAATGGAATTATGGGAAAAAAGTATTTGACATCCTATGATGTGGAGGATAAGGGAATAGCATGGTCAAAGATTTGAAATCCATGGGAAAAAGAATTTATGCGAAGGAATTTAGTGGAAATATAATTTAAGTTTAAAATATCTCCAGATTAATGAGTTTGAACAAGGAACTGCATGTGCTATTTTGTATATCTATAATAACAGTTCTTTGTTTAATTTAGTCAAAACAAGTTTAGTTTTCAAACCAAACAATATAGTTATTAGCTATTGAAAAACATGCTCCAATCCAAGGCTAGAGATACAGCCAGCTATATAAGCATGATTATTGTCCTGTAACATAGACAAGGCTAGAGATGGATATGGAACAGAGAGGGAGCACCTGTTTCTTTCGTCCAACAGTGTGATAGAGAATTCATCAAAAGCTAGTCCTATAAAAAATTTCAAAACACGAAAAAGAAATGTTTCCTTCCTTATAGCTTGTTATCAATTGTTTCATAATGTATCATATTGTGGATATAATATTTGAATAGATTGCATTTAATATTGTGGTTTAATAATATTGATATATAATAACTGATAAATCTACTAACTATTATATTAGATTTATCAATAATTACCAATTTTTTGTCATAATTTATCACAAATTATGTCTTGTAAATATATTAAGCTATTGAATTCACGCAACTCCTAATAAGATAGGTATTTTTCTCAAAATAAGAAAAAGTTTCCTCAAAAGATGAAAGAGAAAAACAAAAAAGACAAGAGACCAATTGATTTCCTCTGTCCCAAGTAAATAAGTATTGTTTAGTGAAATATATTTCGCCAACGAATATAGAGTAAAAATATAGGTTGCTACAAATAATCGCTCCCAACCGCCGCCGAATCTCTTGAAATCCTGATTCCAAAATCGCTGTTTCTCAGGGTCACACACCGGAAATCCTTACCGGCAAAACCCAACTTGAACTCCGCTAAGCAACCGGCGACCTCAAAGCTTCTCCTTCGTCCCTCGGCACTCTGTAAGCTGGAAAGCTCTTCCCTCACCTCTTTCTAATGCCATATAGATTCTAATTATTAAAGCATCTTAATACTTCATGATTTCCTTTTTTTATGCAAGTTCGTTGGAAATTAGGAATAACATTTAATTGAGCTCAGTGACGAGTATCACAAATTATGACTTATTTATTTTTTTGCATATCTGTATCACGAATGCGGAAGTGTGTCTGATAGGGGTGAGTATAATACCGATCGAACCGAAAAAACCGATTGAACCGTAAATTTCGGTTCATTCGGTTTCGGTTTTTTTGCTTATTCGGTCGGTTTTCGGTTTATGTTTTCTATAATTTCGGTATTTGGTTCGGTGCTCGGTTTTGCAACTTCGGTTTTCGAAGTTTTCTTCTTGTATTGGTTGAGCTTCCATATTTTCCGTTTCGTCTGCCCATGACTGGTTCTCTCCTCTCGACTGTGGCTAAGTAATATCCATCAATTCTAGCAAACTCTCATTTGCAACGACTGCCTTAGATTTAGCTGGACTCATATTAGTATGTTCATGTTTTACAGATGTCTTTGCAGGACTGAGTCTTCTCCTAGTTCATATTTAATTTATGTTTCCTACGTCAAATAAATGTTTTGGCTAATCATATTATAAGTATCGTATTTTCAAGTTTTAATTGCACTAAAACATGAAATTAAACATATTTTTTAGTAGAAAAAGTTCGATTGAAAAGCTCAATACGACAAGACCAAACCGACCGAATTGAACCGAAAATCGGACCGAATTAACAAAGAAACCGAACTAATTTTGGTTCGGTTATTGGTGCACCAAATAGAAAACCGAAAAAACCGAACCGAACTTCATGAAAACCGAACCGGCCGACGCCCGCCCCTAGTGTCTGATTGTATTAGAGAATATGATTGGTGGAGATTAAAATTCTATTTCATTCTTTCCCCTTACATGCTGACATTACTTCCAAAGTTATTTTGCCAGAGTTGTTTTGTGCATAGAAACTTGATGAATTAGTTTGTGGAAAGTCGCGGACACTCATAATTGCTATTGCAGTTTCAGAGATCAATGGACGACTCAATGAAACAATTGCAAGAAAAGCTTATTGAGGTTGAAATAGAAGCTGAAAATCTTTTATTAGCTCGGCAACAGGTACTTGAAATGCCCTCTAGGTTGAAGCAAAATAGTTTCTGTTCAAATGTATAAACAAACTATGTGTAATGTAATGCAGTTAATTGAAAATGATAGAGTGAGGAATGGGAACAGGGAAGCATTAACTGCACTAAGGAGGAGGGCCAAGACGACAAAAACTAGCGTTCCTACACCGTTTGAGTCACTAATGAGGGATGTTGAATCAAGACTACTGGTGAAAGAGGTTTGTTCAACCTGTGGTAATCACGATTCAAAGGAGAAGACTTGGGTCATGTTCCCGGGAGCTGATGTATTTGCTAATATACCATTTCATGCTGCTCATACCATTCTGGAGAAAGGTTTCTTTCTTACCACATTTGTGTTGTGAATATTTATTAGAAAGTATGCACTTACATATAAACTTTATGCGAGTATAATTCATCCGCTTTATCTGAGTGATTGAGTTATACATGAATGCACGAGGAAGAAGTTTCTATATATGAAAACATGTGCTGTTTCAGGAGCTGCATTTTCAGAGACAAAGCTTTACCAGTCACCAGTGAAGAAGAACAATATATTAAAATTAAGTTGCTTAAGAGCGGATAGAAGTTGTTGTTGTTATTATTATTGTTATTGTTGTTGTTGTTGTAAAGCTGATAGAAGTTATTTAAGATGTAAACAAATTTTTTGAGAGTTGAGACTTTTTCCTCTCATGAATTGGGTTGCAAGTGAGGTTGCTCTCGTTACAAGATCAACTTCTAACCAAGAGGGTGGAGGTTTGAACCACCGAGGGAACAAAGTAGAAAGGGCCACTGTTGACTCCTGAGAGCAGGGGGTTTGGATTTGAATTTATCACGTCAGAGAAAGAAAAACGAGAATACTCCTGAGGGCACAGGGTTTGGAGTGGGGTTTATCACATTAGAGAAGAAAAAGGAGAACACAAACAGTTTTTACAACTATTAAGATTAGAATGAGCAAAGAATAGCGATAGGCTAAAGCCATGATGCATGATCTCTACCGGACACTGCACCAAGTAGAGGATAGACAAGTGATGACGGTGAATTTGCCTTTCTAGAGAGTGAACATTCCTCTGATCCATTTTATAAATGATGCACTATTTGGAGAGCCAAATAATTTTTTAATTAAGATTTTCTTGAATACGTTCTTAAATATTCTAGGTTTAAAAGGCTACATACTTCTTATTAGTTTCTAATATACAATAAGTAGACTTGTTTGACCTTTGTGATCCAAATTGTGTCATTCTTTTTTCATGGAGGATCACTTATTGCAACAGTCTAAGCATAAAGGTAGGGAGTATACTTGCAATGAGATGGATTTTATACTGTAGACGATTTTATCTTGTTTCTTGGATTTCTTATTTTTTGTCTATCATTTTGTTTCATATTGCCTTAACACCCTCATTTCATATAAATTAATGTTCTTAACTTGGGTCTACTTAGTTGCCTAACAATGTTTTCTGCTCTTTTTTCGTCTAGTAAGTAAATAATTTTCTAGGCAAAGACATCCCACGAGGCAACCTATGTTACTACCAGTATACCTTGGCCATTTTCTGTCATCCCTTCGAGCCCCATATTTTTGTGCAGTCATGCTCATGTGAAACTTAACAAATTTAGCTTTGATTGCCAGCTGTTTAAATTTGGTTACCTTGCTCTTTCATATAAGTAGATTTCTGGTCCTTATCAAAGCCAACCCCATCATGACTTGCCACATTAGGGTGGTCTTATTGAGTGTAGGAATGATTTTATGCAAGTTGCAGCGCTAGAATGACCATTAACTTTAACTTATGTCTCCCTTTACTTTTCTCTCTTTCATAATTCATTTCCTTATTCTTGCAGAGAATTCTAGTGTTTACTTTGTTCTTCTACTCTGTTTCAATATTTGAAATATGAACCGGTCCAAATAGTTAGTTACTTGATGCAGATCAAACTCTACTTGATTACGAAGCGAAGAAACTCCAGAGCTTTGTAAAGGAGAAGTCTTTATGGATATCGGATCAAGGAGTTCTTGCAGATAGTATTAATCCAGATGTCCTCAGATCTATGGTGACTTTAACTGACAAACCAAAGTAAGCTTTGGTGGTTGCATTGCCCTTTTAATCTGTCTTCCTCTAAATGTTTTATGCCTTAATGTATATATTTTTTCTTTTGACCATTCAGGACCGAGCAGAATGAGTAATCAACAAGTGTAATAAATATTGCATATGAAGGTAAATCTTTGTACTCCCTACCTCTTGCACATCTGTGCATGGTACTTAGAACACCAGCATCTCCATATTAAAATAAACACTTGTAGCATTTCCATCCATCAAGAAACAGATTGTAGTTTGAAGGTGGTGAAATCATCTTTCTTTGTTTATTAATCACAGCATATAGCAAGAGAGACTCTTCAGGTGCTTTCAGCAATTGAAGACCTAATCTAAAACTGTGAGCAGCAATATTCTTAACGGTAGTGTTAGCAATGTAGCTAGCTGGAGAAATTTTGAGTGGAGTTTAGTCAGTTTGTTTATCTTCCTGCCGGGGAATTCTTCTGGTGATTATCTAATGTCTAGACTTCTGAGCAACCGCCAAGAGAGTGCTTCTGGTTCTGCATTACAGAAGGGGCAAAACATAAGTTATTCAGACTTGCTTCACACTTGGGTGAAAATATCAATGTCAATGTGCTGCTAACGGTTGTCAAGATTGTATGGTTCACTTCGGGAAAATGAGCAGAATTTGATTAGCGCCTCCTCTTTTTTCCTCTACAGCTCAAAATCATGTATAAGTTACCTGAAAGATACAAACTATATTATCTCAGTTTCGTTAATATAAGACTGTAGGATGATAGATAGCACATAGACTTATTTTGGAGTTTGTGCATGTGACTTTGCTGTTCTTCTCGCTAGTGCATGCATAACATCAATTGGCCGTTTCTATTTCTCTACTTTGGCAGAGAAAGGGGATTAGATAGAAAAATAAGGTATCTAGGGTCCTCTTTTTATGGTCATTGTAACATGATTTTTCCTAGATTATATGCTTTTGGATAAGTCTATATTTTGGAGAACTTTGGTATGATAGTGTTGTGCAGGAAGCCAGGAACAACTTCTCTCAGTTAATATTCTGAGTTTCTGATCCCTCCCCACTCCTTTGGAAAAGGGAGAATGATTCGGTACAAGAATTAACTTCACATGTTAATGCCACGGTCCAGAGTGAAAATGGACAAATGTGTCCTGATATTTGAGGGGACATTTTGTCTGTGGAAACATTATTCTCTGAACTGCTACAATAAAAAGGGGAGAACTATATGGTAGTAATTGGTATTATTATCGCATTTTCACATTAAGTCAATGTGCATGCTATAGTCGAAACTTGAGAGTGAAAATTGTCAATTGTGTCCAAACTTTGGAAAGGGGGCCTCCTATATTACCTCTGCGGAAATAAATTAATCTATAAACTGCTATATATAAAATCATCCCCCAATGAGGAAGTTTTAATACAATTCTTAATCTTTTACCTTGGACATGATGTTCACGTTCGAACAAAAATAGTTAGACCAAGGAAGGTGCAATAATATGACACCATTCTTGGTATGTTACACATGGCACTACATGTTTGGGAGACTGACAAAGCTAAAACATAGTTGTAGGACCACAACACCATAAAAGTGTGCACATTTTTCCTCTTCCGAAAGTGAATGATTGAACCCTATTGTAGGTGTGTTTATAATTTTCTTGGCAACTTCTCTTCCTCAATGTATTGTCTTCATTGATAGGTACTACTCTTTGTTCCTGGGCAAGCACTGCAGGTAGCAGCAACCTTTCTCAGTCCAAATAAATCATTGTTCTTGTTAGACACTCCTATAATTGAATTCCATCTGAAAATCTTGGACGGAATTAGGACAAGTTCTTGAGTTTAATTGAACTCATTGTTTTCCGCTCTAATTATGTATGCATATGCAAAAAGGTAAAATATATACATATTACTCATTTGAACCCACTGACTGACTCTAGATCTCGAATTCGTCGTTGCAAGTAGATATCTGGATATTGGAGAGGGGGGTGGGAGAGTCGGAGTGTCGGACCCCTGCCTTTGCTTGTACTCCCAATTATTTGGAAATGCATTTATGATCACTACTGTCATTTTTTAGCCATCATTAAGATTTGTGAGATGATGACTAGACACAAAGAAACAAGACGTTTGTTTTGCTGTGATGATTATGGAAATCTTTCTGAGCTTTGCCTCTGCAGCCCCACAAGACTTTGGTATTGCCAGGGCATTTGCTGTAGTTGGTGAGGCCTTGCTTTATTATCTGATCATCGGACATGTTTTTCTATTTTATGTTCATGTGTCAAGGCTACCAAAGGCACTTAAACATATCATGATAAGCAAGAGCTAAAAATTAGTAAGTAACAGCTTTTTTGCAAATTGCAACATACACTTAAATACAAGTGAAAAAATGGAAATTACTGCGAGAAAGAAAGGATAAATTTAGGATTTTGAGAAAAGGTCACTCTTAAAACTATGTCATGTGTTCACATACATTGTTATGATTAGTCATATTTCGATTAATTATTATATATATATATTTGTCTTTATTTATCACTTATCTATGGTAAATTAGTATAGTTTGGTATAAATCGAATGCGGATAAGTTTCTACGAAAAGAAGGGTATAGCTAGTGCCTAGTGGTCTTTTGCTTTCTTGTCCTCCATTCGAAGTGTATTTGCAGTTTGACCACATTATCAATCAGACTTGTTAAGGTATTTGGAGTGACACGTTAATGAAAATTGGTTGAAAAAGAAATCAAATTCTAGCACGTTTTACCAAATTGCTTTCAACAGACCGTTTTCAATGTCAGTGAGATTTTCTATGTCTCTTTTGTTTGCACTTCTTAGTGTCCACTTGCAATGGGAATTGGGGGTGAGAGCTATCTGAAAGATGGCTCACCGATGTCATTTGGTCCACCTCTCCTAGGTTGGTATATTTATTACGTTATTTGTCCCCATTTTAGTTAATTGAAAAAAAACACAACAATTAATGATCAAGTAATCTATTTTCTCGCGAAAATAGCAAACAAAGAAACTCTATTACACTTGGTTTATGGGGCGTGTGAAGCAAAAAGAAAAAAGAAACCAAGTGTACTGACATAGAAATGAATATATGTGTATGTGTTTGTCCCAAACTTCTAATGTCAAGCATACCTTTGTCTGACTAAGTGGATTATCCGTACACTTACAGTCAACTCTGTGGCAGACTTTTTCCAACCCAATGCAATAAAACTCTGAAGCCATGTTAAATATTTGAATAATTATTTCTCGTAAAACAATTGAAACAAAAATAAAGGGAAAAGAAATAAGAAAGGAAAAGATGAAAGTTACATTCTGCTTACTTGCTTGCTTATGCTGAATCGCTGAACCTAAAGTACTTGATATGATATGGACTGCGGAGAGATTTACAAATTTATTTTTAGTTTTATGACCCTAACTCTTTTTTTTACACATGAGAGATTTACTTTTATATGTAAGAGATATGTCTTTTACACATAAGATATCTAAAAAGATTATTTTCTTAAATTCAAAATTGTAAAGGGCCATAATGTACAAATAGCACGACTTGCGGGTATGGGAGGCTTTAGAATTTGCCGTAGGAAATTACGAATAATAATAAAGTTAATTTATTAAATGGCCAGTCAACTTATTACATGTTTTATACGAATGTTATTGAAGCAATGGAATCACTAAACTTATGATTGATTACTCGAAAAATAAATTTGGCCAACAAAATATATTAAATCTGGCCGAAAAGTTAAGTAAACATAACAATCACCGAACATGCCAGGTTGATTCGACAAAATTATTTTATGACAGCAAAACTCATGCTCGATGGTACATATAATTATATACTAGCCTATCGGACAGAATTAGTCCCTGTCATTTGTACAACTACGTGTATTGGTCAAAATCTGACCATCACGACCAAGGTGGCAACGACCCCATTCTTGGCACCAGGTAGAAGAAATCAATGATGTTAACCTCATCTCTCCTTTAAGACATTCGACACAGCGACGAAAGCAACACCTTTCCACGACCAGGAAGCTCCGCTGACCCAGACACGCCAAGTCGTGGCAAGGGTAAGAGGTTTTTCGATTATATATACAAGCAAAAGGAAACTTCGAGGGGTCAGCTTTTTTCTCCAGGCCCTCTCATAGAATAAAGGGAAGAATAAAACTTCACTTCTAAAAGGGAGGAGGGGGGACTTTTCAAAAAGAAAAGAGGAGAAGAGCTCCATTCTGGTACCCCGAAAGGGCAAAGCAATTGTAATTCTTCTTCCCTCTCTACGGAGAGCAAAGACAGTACTCAATTTTAATAAGATCTTTGGTACTCTATTCGTCTATTATGCAATTGTTGTTATTCAATCTTTCGATCCGGTATTAATTAGGTTTGACTACGATTTACCCCTTCATCTTTGATTGATTTGCTTAAAAAGAGTTCAAAATTTTTTGGGTCAAACAATTTGGCGCCGTCTGTGGGGATTTCCTAGTGAAAATTCCTAGTTTTTCCCAGATCGAAACTAAGAAACACGAGAAGAGAACCCAACTCACGCAAGATGTGGAGAGCGCGCTAAGGGAAAAGAAACCAAACGGATTCGTGAGGTCTGGAATTCCCTGCTCTATCGGCTTCGAATATCCCGGACAAGGCGAAAGGTGTTGCAATCCAGCTTATCCCCTTCTCTCAAGACCGTCGGGCAGAGGCAAGGAACATCTCATCCTCATCCCCCATACTTCGTCAAAACCGGGTACGTAAAATCCACGCGAGCAAACGAGCGCAGGGTACCCAGATTGAGGAACCAAAGATTACGACACAGCCAAAACCCTCCCGGCCGGTGGCGTCTTCGAGACGAACGACCCAAGTCGTACAGGAAACTGCAACACGCGTGCAACGAGAGCCTGTGCAAAATATTAGCATCTCATGTCCACGGCGTTGAGCCACCTGATGCGAGCAAAATTAAACAAACTGGGACACCCCTATGAAATGCATCATATTCTCCAATGCAAGCAAAATTAAGCAAATTGGGACTCCCCCAAAGAACACCCTTTAAGACCAAGGGCCTTAGCCATAGAAGAAGAAAAGTTCGACCTCGCTCGAACCACGACGGGCTGTTATTTCGAAAAGTTCAAAATAACACTCTTAAGGCCAAGGGCCTTTGCCATCAAAGAAAGAGAGGTCCGACCTCGTTCGAACTCAAACGGGCTGTTATTTCGATAAGTTCGAAATAACACCCTTAAGGCCAAGGGCCTCCGCCATCAAAGAAAAAGAAAAATTCAACCTCGTTCGAACTCAGACGGGCTGTTATTTCGATAAGTTCGAAATAACACCCTTAAGGCCAAGGGCCTCCGCCATCAAAGAAGAAGAAAAGTTCGACCTCGTTTGAACTCAGACGCTGTTATTTTGATAAGTTCGAAATAACACCCTTAAAGCCAAGGGCCTCCGCCATCAAATAAGAAGAAAAGTTTGACCTTGCTCGAACTAAGACAGGCTGTTATTTCGATAAGTTCGAAATAACACCCTTAAGTCCAAGGGCCTCCGCTATCAAAAAAGAAGAAAAGTTCGACCTCGTTCGAACTCAGACGGGTTGTTATTTCGATGGCCTTCGCCATCAACAAAAAAGAGAGGTCCGACCTCGTTCGAACTCAGACGGGTTGTTATTTCGATGGCCTTCGCCATCAACAAAAAAGAGAGGTCCGACCTCGTTCGAACTCAGACGGGCTGTTATTTTGATAAGTTCGAAATAACACCCTTAAGGCCAAGGGCCTCTGCCATCAAAGAAGAAGAAAAGTTCGACCTCGTTCGAACTCAGACGGGCTGTTATTTCGATAAGTTTGAAATAATACCCTTAAGGCCAAGGGCCTTCGCCGTTAAAGAAAATGAGAGGTCCGACCTCGTTCGAACTCAGACGGGCTGTTATTTCGATAAGTTTGAAATAACACCACTAAGGCCAAGGGCCTCCGCTATTAAAGAAAAAGAAAAGTTCGACCTCGTTCGAACTCAGACGGGCTGTTATTTCGATAAGTT